TGATATTCCTATATTGATAAATGGTAACACTCCTATAGAGTCTTCTACTTTACGCCTTCTTGGATTACTTTTTTGCAACCACCTCTTGTGGAAACTTTTTCTCTTGTGGAAACTAACTTTGGAATTCTTATAAAGAATTCCAAAGTTAGCATCGGCTAAGGTTGTTATTCATTAAAATGTGCTCATCATTTTCTCACTCCTGATTCCTACAAATTTAATTGTCCCTGTATGGAATACTGTTGCCACATTTGGGCTAGTTCAAACTTAATTAACCATGTATGACATACTGTTGTCACATTTGGGCTAGTTCTTCTAATGATGCCCATTCTTTTAAACCACAAAACTTATTATAAATAAAGTTGGACCTGTTACTTTCTAAGCTTGACCCTGTGTCCCATGGTTGTAATATTGCATCTCTTTCTCTTTTTTAAAATACTATTGTTCCATGAACCAAATCTTTTTTTAATTATGCGTGATTTTTCATTCAGCAAAGTCACTTGGTTTAAATATAGAAATAGTGTTATTGCAGCATCAGTATCCGTACAGTAAACAGATAATTTTACAGTATCTATTTCTTCATGCTCTAAAAACTTTTATTCCTCTAGTTTTTTCTTTGCACAGTCTTCATTCAACCGCTTTCTCTTTGTTTTCTGAAACTCTTCACTGAAATAGTGGTGCTTACATCGTTGTTGGTAGTGAATTAGATTTAAAAAAATCAAACATGAAAATGTATAATTTTTGTTTATCATTAGTTGTTTATTTAGTTTAAATTTTATTTTTTTTAAATCATTTTATTTTATACTATTTATTTTGTTTTTTAAATATATTTATTTCTATTTTTTTTTACAATTTGTTAAAGAAAAATATTAGATAAGTGGATAAGTGTTTTTTTCTAATTTATTATTGCTGTTTTTTAAGAACATTGAGCACTCTATTTGTAGAATAGAATAACATTATATATATATATATATATATATATATATATATATATATATATATATATATATATATATATATATATATATATATATATATATATATATATATATATATATATATATATATACATACATATTATTTTCTATTCTGTTTATTTTATATATATTACATATTTTTATTTTATTTTTAATTTTATTCTTTATATTTTATTTTTTTCATTTAATTATTATATATATATATATATATATATATATATATATATATATATATATATATATATATATATATATATATATATATACACATACATACATATTATTTTCTATTCTGTTTATTTTATATATATTACATATTTTTATTTTATTTTTTATTTTATTCTTTTTATTTATTTATATTTTATTATATATATATATTATATATATATATATATATATATATATATATATATATATATATATATATTAATTTTATATAGTTTTCTACAGTTTTCTTTTACAAGATGGTGGTGAGTCTTTGGACAGCATTTGGTAGTTATCTGATAATTGTTTTAGTTGTAATGCTGCTGTATTTTGCTTTTCTACCTTTTCAACTTGTGAAACAAGGCTTTGGATGACTTTACTGCAGGTGTAGGTGGTTCTCACAAAATTTATGTCATATAAATATGGAAGCATAACATCGTTAAAATATGTAACTAATTTTGGTAGGCACTTTAATAAGAAATTTGGATCTTTAGCAATACGAAATGTGCAAGATTCTTTGGGTAAATAAATTTCAAAGTCACAATAATTGGCACCTGTAACAAATATTTGGTGCTGAACTTGGGTGTAATAAGGGTGATTAAGTTTGATTGCAAAACTTTCATTACTTTTTACTATAAAACAAGAAGACATTGAAAGGTATTCTGAAATAGTTTTATCTCTTGCTGAAAAAGGACATTTGCATTCTAACAAACCAAATCCACAACAAGTACAATTTATAATTCTATCAGGACTTGCACCCAGAAATGGATACTCAGAACATATTGTCAAGCCTGCTATGTCATAACTAAAATTTTTATGTAAATTTTGGTTTTTTCTAACATAACGTTTGACAGCAAATTCTTCATTGCTTCGTCCCCATGATAGCGCACTACTGGAAATAGTTTCAATTTGTTCACAAATCTTTGCACATAAATTAAAAGAGGATGTTGGGTTTGTAATTGTTTGCCTATCACTAACTTTCTGAATTACCTCATGGGATACTGATGATGTAATAACACCATATCTATATTTAAACCAATTAATAGAATATGACTGGTCTGTTGTTATACTGCAAATTTTTTTTATATCAGAATTTGTTCGATAGGTTTTTAATTTATAGTGAAACAAATTCATATCGGTTATACAAACTATTTCATCAATTGTTTTAGGATATTCTGTAGCAATTGTAAAATCAATATCTAACTTGTAAAAACTTGTTTTTTTAAACTGCAAAACACTTGCATTACCGTTGGTAGCTTTAGCAATATTCTCCCAGTCTTCAGTTGAATATGTGACATTAATGTCTGTTCGTGATCGAGGTTCATATAAGTTTCTACTTGGACCAGGTTCAACATCATCATTTTCAGGATGTGGTCGCCTAAAAATAACTGAATTTATTTCACATGGTTCATGTATTTTTTGGCGCTTTTCAACTCGTACATCCCATTGTTGTTTTTTGCCAGTACATGTTTTATTATGGCCTAACCTGACTTCATTCTCAATATAATGCAATAAACTAAAGACATGCTTACAAGATGAACTGAAACCTGCAATACACGAACACACTTAGCAGTAAAAACATATTCTGAACCATAAAAACATACCCAAACTAAATATGGATTTTCGTTTATTCTTGTCTGAGAAACAACAGTAGCTCTAACGTAACAATACCGAATACTGTCAACAATGTTATTAAAGGCGACATCTTTAACATGCCCAGAATATTGCAAGTTTTTTCCTTCACTAAATGCCTTCATTGCACTCTTATTTGTAGCATATTCTTTAATGACTTCTAAAGTCGCATTAGGAAGATATTGACTTCCACTTTGCCAGTTACTTTTTAAATCTTCAGGAAATGGAAGATGTAAAACATCGTCAACTACTAACTTCCTTCTTCGACTGTTATTTATTTCATTAATACGGTTATCAGTGGTAGGTAACAATGGTAGGTTTAAAGCTTCTGCCATGATAACTTTTTCTATCAAAAGTGCTTTTCGTGCACTTCCTGAACCAAGTGGGACACCTCTTGATAATAAATACGTTTTTAACTCATCTATTTTCCACTTTGACAAATCTACTGAAGTAAAAACCATATTAAAACCAATAAATAAGAATAATAATCTAGGCTAATGCAATAATCGCTGGATATTCGCATAGAATTATATATCTATCAAGTTTGTTTGCTCCCAGGCGATCCCAGAATGCAATGCGTTTTATAATGGCGTCTTTATCTGGCAAAAGGTCAATTTTAATAATGACATTTCGCGTCATTAGACATAATAAAAAGGTTTTTCAAAACTGAAAGTGATAAATTTTCTAGGACGAGAAAAAGACGTTCATAAGACGTCTTATTATAGTTCATATTGTGAATAAATCGAGCGGACGTACATAAGACGTCTTTTTTCCGTCGTGTGCTTACTGGGTTTAATGAAATTCGGTTCTAAAATCACTAATGAATTTTTAAACCGAATAAACTTTTGATCGAAAATTCGATCGAAATTTTTTCGGTTCAAAAACCATTAATGACTTTCGATCGAAAACACGATTGAAATTTTTTCGGTTCTAATTTTTTTCGTAAATATTTTCGGTTGTGTAATAAATTTCTCATATTCGGATCTAAATTGAAATTAGAGATTCGGTTGAATCATAGGACGCCATTCTCACACGCTACCTACCATTATTCAGAAATAGGATTTAACTTTCATGGTAATTAAAAAAAAGAAATTTCTTTTTTGCGTGGTCGTATATGTGTACTTAAAGTACTGCTATTGCCCCGCTGTGTTTGCGCAACCGATCTGAAGGATTAGATAAAATTACTTGTTTTACGTACTTTTGATCAAATTATTATATTATAGATAAGTGACACTAAAGTTACACAGGGACTGCATACGAAAGATCGAAAAAAGGGGATTGCGATGACTGTTTTTTTGCTTTATTTCAACAACTTCAAACGCAACAATTACTTTAACTAAATACGTAAAAAGAACAATCTATTTTACAAGCTGAAGAGATTTTACTTGACTTTTTAGAACAAAATTTAGCATTATATTACAATAAATCTGTACAAATGCATAAAGGAATTATGGAGTTTAATTAATTCATCATTTTGAAATTATTGCACAGTTTACAGACTAGTCAATAAATAAAACAAAAATACTACATATTAATATTATAATTTTTTTTTTTTTTTTTTTTTTTGTTCTTTTCTTGATTATTCAATATAGTTATACAATAAGATAGTTGAGATAAAAATCGTTATACAATAAAAGAAAATATATGCAAAAAAAAAAGAACGCGGAGACTCGCAGAAGACCTTCAGATCTTATCATCGAGAACCGCTCGTGAATATTAAGTACATTAAATTAACATGAAGTATAAAATCTAAACAATGTCGTATTAAAAATTAGAGAGAACGTAAATTTCGTAATAATATATAAATAAAATTGGAATAAAGAAATTATTGATACTCTTATATATAAATACAAAAATATTTTAAAAAGTACTGTTTCCACAAACACATAAGTTATGGATCAGATATAATATTTATATATTACCTTATGTAATAAACTTCATATTCATTTTTAAAAGAATTTAAAAATATAAAAAAATGTCTTCAAAAGACAAAACAATTTCTTTTAGTTTTTTCTTGAATGAAAAATAATTCTATTCATGGAAAAAATCAAAATTTTTTAAAACTATTTTGTTCCATAGAAAAGCTCCTCGATATGAAATACATGACTTTCCAAAATTAGTTAAAGATAAAGGTTGCTGAATTTGATTATCATTTCTTAAGTTATATTTATTTTTATCTTTTAAGGTATATAGATTATGAAAAGAAACTGGAGATTCGTTGGTTTTACACTTGAACATAAAACAAAGTATATTAAAAATATTTAGCTGATAAATATTAAGAATTTTCATTTGAAATAATAATGGTTTGGCATGAGCAAATCGATCTTTATAATTGATAAGCCGAGCAATAATAACATAATAACATTTAAAAATTCTATATTTTTGTTTAAAATTTTCCTCAGTGTGAAATCTATTCCGCATGTTTTTATTATATGTGGAATAAAATTTATAAATGAAAAATTTTTTCACAGTATAATAATGAAATGATCAAAATTACTAATTACAACAATATGAATTATAGCATTGTAACAATATGCATAAAATTTTTTAGTAAACGGTATAAGGATTAACGATGTTCCGTTTTGGCTTCTAGAAAATGCTTAACATTAACAACTTTTTAACTTCATTCCCGAAGGTACTCTCTAAAACCTACAAAAAAAATGGGACCAATTTATGTTAAAAACATTATTTACACATAATGTCTTATGTATTATGTTGAAGTGAAAAAAAAAAAGTAATAAAAAATGTGACTAAATAAATAATAAAAAAGAAACTTACTTTGTAAGATTATTTTTGTGACCTCAGAACAACCCTAAAGATAAAAAATGACAACATTAAAAATATGTTTTACTTTAAAACATGTTTCTTGGCTTTTAGTGAATGATTAAATTTTCAATAGAAACACGTGTTTTAATGGTCCTAAATGATGGTCTGACTTCGCTATAGAGAATGTAAGCTCCACCAGGCAGTTTCTGATGTTTTATTGTTTGAACTCATCCATCAATAAAAAATTTGTAAGCATCTAATGATTTAAAGTTTTCCATGGCTTTACTAGAGTATTTCCCTAAAATTATTATTATAGTAACTTTCAATGATTAAATGCCTATTAGTTGCCTAAATCACACATTTTCTAGTACCATATACATAATAATATTCTTATTATCAACTTGTACTCTGTGTGTAATAAACTAAATAATACTGTTCAATAAAATTATCTTTTATAATTTATATTTTATCTTTATCTGTCTTATTCAATAATAAATAAATTATTTAGTAGGACTTTTATTAGAAATTGATAAAAATGATGATAAGCAAAAGCAGGCCATTAAGATGAGTCATCTTTCCACTCATCTGATGCAAGTTTATAAGGGCACTTTTTTAGACTTAACACTTTTAATATTACTAATAGGGTAATACAAATACTATTATTTTGATCAGAATAGAATTAGTGTGTTTGAGATATAAGTAATACATTATAAGCAAACTACTATTCTTGTGTTTAATTACACAATACTGTTTATTTATTTAATCGCTTCTAATAATATTAATAATAGTATTTAATACTATTACTAACATATTACCAATATACTAATAATAGTATGAGTGTGAATAAATAAATAGTTTAGAGTAATTAAATACAAGATTAACTAATAAACAGGGTTCGTAGCCACATATTTATAAAAATTTCCCTGACTTTTCCCTGACTTTTTTGAAAAATCAGATGAATTTCCCTGACCATTTTTAACATTTGCAATGGTTTTTATAAAATGTTAAAAATTACTACTGTAATGAAAATGCTAAAATGTACATGCTTAGAATGACAAAACTTATAAAACTTAGCTATTAGTTAAGTTGGATGTTAGTATAGATTTTATTATGCATATTATTAAGCATGACTAAGAATAAACAACAGGTGAGCTTCTTAAAAAATCTAAATATTATGCACATAAAATTTAGTTTCAGATGATCTTCAAGAAAATCTAAATATTATGCTCATAAAATATTTTATATATAATTATTTTTCACTAACACAAAAAATAAACTAAAATGTCTATGTAGATATCTTTCAACATTTTGAGCAATATTTGGTCTATAAAAGAGACTACTTTGGGTTAGTTGTTTTTTATCACTATTTGTAGCTGTACCTTCGCTAATTCAATAATACCTTTAGATAAAAATAGCACAGTATAACAAAATATGCTTAGAAACATTAAAAAAAAAACTTTTTATTAATTTTAAATTGCATATATTTTTTAAGCAAAATCTTATATTGAAAATATATTTAAAGTTTTTTAATTAGCCATATTTGCATAAATGTCAACATAAATAATATTTTATATAAACAAACAAATTGTCAAAAAGCAACTATTGTTAATTCAGTTTCTTTCTCTTCTCTTCTAATATCAATAATGTTTCCTGCAACTTAGATACGTCTTTCATTTTCTCCTCGCTTTTCCTTTTTAAAGCATTCGCTTTGCTGACCAATGATAAATTGTTTTCTTTTTCCGCTTGTTCCACAGTTAAGACAAACTCTTTTTCTAGCATCAATGAAGTTTTTGTAAGGAAACAAATTTTAGATTTTAGCTCTTCAATTTCAGACAAAATAATGGCTTTCTGATCTAACATAGCATGTTTTTTATTCTTTGACTTCTCTTCCTCAAGCATGATCTGGTATTTTTGATGAGCAGATTTAAAGGCAACTTTCATTTCTGATGTAATCTGGACAGAGTGGGGGTTGAGGTTGTTGGTAAGTTAATTATAAACTATAAAGTTTACAATAAAGTTTATTATAAACTTTATTGACAAATGTCCATATTAGGTTAAATATTAAATACGGTAATACTATTAGACTAATAACTACATTAAGTTAACATTAATAACTACATTTAGTTAACTTAAGTTAACTTAATGTAGTTATTAGTTAACTAAATTAAGTTAGTTATTAGTTAATAGTATTTAACTAGTTAAATACTATTATTATTATACTACCAATAATACTTGTTAATTATTACTAATAATATTAGTTAATCACACTCATGCAATTATTAGTATATTAGTAATTAGTATAATAGTATATTAGTAATTGTATTCATACAATTAATACTCATACAATTGTACTCATACAATTATTAGTATATTAGTAATATACTAATAATTGTATGAGTGCAATGAAGTAAATAGTATAGTGTAATTAAACAAAAGATGAACTAATAAAGTTTATTAGACGAAATTTCATATAAGATTACATATTAAACACGCTAATACTATTAGACTAATAACTACATTAAGTTAACACACTAAAACTAGTGTGTTTACAGTAAACAGTTTACAAGTAAAGTTTACAGAACAGTTTACAGTAAAGTTTACAGTAAAGTTTACAGTTTACAGTAAAAGTTTACAAGTAAACTTTACTTAATTAAGTAAACACACTAATAGTATTAACGAGTTTAATATGTAAACTAAACTAAAATTTCTTGTAATAAATTTTATTAGTTGTATAAAAAGCTCACCTATTAAATCTAACTTATTTTGGTAACGTTCAGCAGCCTTTTTAAATAACTTTTCTTGATAATCATAAGACATTTTCAAAGCCTTTAAGTAATGTTGTACTGAAATCAACGCGTTACGAGCGTCTAAATACAGGAAAGTCTCCCTATTTTGATTGGATGGAAAAAAATTGTTTTACAAAGTCCGTGAAACAACTTTTTCGTTTGCCGGACTTAATAACTTGTATATGATTTATGGTTAGCTATCTTTTGGATGATCCAAAAGTAGGTTTGCGATTTTGAAGAAAACACAGACCAAGAATGTTTTTGATTTGCGCTATTGCGCTATTGCGCATGCGAAATTTTTGTAAACCTACTTTTGGATCATCCAAATTAAACTTTTTTAGATAATGCTCAATATCGCTGATATACCAATTCATTTTTTACAAATTCTTAAATATTTTTGATAGTAGAGTGAAAGAAGACAGCTCTTCCATCGCTTTTAAACATTTTTTAAGTAATTTTTTTCTTTTATATTTTCGCCTTACTCTTTAGCAGTAAGTTTTTCGAATTTTTGTATATATAATATTTTTGTATATATAACATGTCAGTGACAGAAAGTTGCTACAACTATTTGATACAGCCTTTTTTAATTTTATCTTTATATATAAGTTCAATTATATATTTATATCAAAACAAAATTTGGATTGTTTGTATATTTGTTTAACAAATACATATTTCTATTTTTCTAGTTTAAACTTTTTAACAAAATAAATTGTGTCAAATATCGAATTAAGTATTTATTATTTTCTGCTTTAGCAGTATTTATAGTCCTCTAGTCTTTGATATTTAAGTAAGATGTGTAGAAGTTTTTTAGTCCTTTTTTTTTCCAAACAAAAATTTTTATATTTGTCTAATAGCGACTAATTTAAATCAAAAAAAAAATATTTTGCAGATAAAATAATAAAAAGTTAAATAACTTTTTTTAAGAAATATTCTAGAGATATTCTAGGGAGTCCCATATTAAGAAATACTCTTTCAATTTGTAGTACACTTAATGTTCAACGAGAAAATTACAATAAAATAATAATAAAATAAAGCAAAAAGCATAAACTGTCAATAAAAATCCTCAAATCTCAAAAAATCCTCAAAAATCCACATTTAAAGTAAAAGTTTATACAAATTTTAAACTAATAGTTTAATTTTTATATTAGATTTTAAACCAAGTTTTTAATTGTTGTTATAATAAAAAGTTACTTAAGCTTTATGCAAGTATATATTTATGTATTTATTTTGCTTTCATAAATGATGCCTACCATGGCCATATTTATGGCACCATATCTTTTTGGTAATTTTGAATATTAAAAAAAACTAACAATTTGAAGTCAAGTGCTTTTACCTATATAATCCACAAGCACCCCGCTAATCAAAAATTCCAAGAACGTTTTGATTAAGTGTCATATCCTGCTTGTTGCATTGCCATTTTATGGATGTTTCTTTTAATAGCGCACTCAATCAATAATTATCTGAGACCATCTAGACCAATCAATAGAAAATATTATCCAGACCAATCCATTGAAATGTAGCAAACTGTCATTGAAAGACTTGTCCTATGAATTCTTTGCACTATTTTTTATTTTATTTTAATAAAGTCACTCTTAGCGGAGCAGTAAGCCACCACTAATTAAGTTTCAGGTTAAGTAAAAAAAAAAAAGAAAATGATCGACAAAAAAATATCATCCAGATTTGACCAGAAATTTTTTCTGGTACTATACCAGTGTTACTTCTACAAAATTGTGTTGTATAAAAAAAAGTTATAAACTTACTTTTATTTTTAATAAATAAATATGTATATATATATATATATATATATATATATATATATATATATATTATATATATATATATATGGATAAATATTTGCGTGTTTGTTTGTATATGCAAATTAAAATTATTTCAATCTTTTTTTAGCCAATATGCGTGTCCAAATAGTAGTTGTAATCTACTAGACCAAACCACAGATGATGAAGATTTAACTCCAACTTTTGGATTTTCACATATTTTATATTTTAAATAATACTTTTTAATTTGTTTAAAACACTAGCATTACAAAAGTTTAATATAGTTTTTAGTTTTAGTTTTTAATTTTTTATAAAACTTTTAAGGTTTTATTTACAGTTTTTGTTTTATTAAAGTTATTAAGTTGTATCATTGCTTATGATAGTTTAAACATGTATAAATATTTTTGTTGTTTTTGTTTCTTAGTATGCTTGTTAGGCAGGGCAACCATATTGTTGGGTGAACTTTTTTTTAATGTTTTGCTAAAGTTAATTAGTTAATATTATAGTAGATTATAGTAAAAAAAGTAATTATATTAGGTGATATTTCTCTTTTACTGACTTAAATTTAAAATATACAAAGTAAAGGCATAAAGATCAAAGAGTAAACATTTAGTTAATAAATTGTTCAAATTAAAAAGTAATTTATGCAAAAGCACGTTTCAAAAAGATGTTTTTAGATTTAGTGCTGTATTAGTTAAAGATTTCATTAGCATTGCAATATGGCGCTTAAAGTTTTGATTTCTTTGTATAATCTGTTTATCATAGATATAGGTTATAAAATTTATAGCTTTTATAGGTTATGAAATTTATAATAGATGTAGGTTATAATAAATTATAATGAAATTTATAGGTTAAGCTTAAATTGTGAAAGTTTTATTTAAACATTAATTCAATCAAGTGATTTATTCAAAATTGATTTTCTATAAATCTGTTTAAGTTGAATTTTATAGTTTTTATAGTTCAATTTTAGTATTAGACAGTTTTTTAATATATAAAGTAATGGAAACATCTGCTAACGATGGTAAGTGTTGATTAAATAAAGTATTGTAGTTTATAACTTTTTAGTTTATGTTTAGTAGAAATTTATATGCATATCTTTATCATTTGATAGTTTATTTTAAGTTAAAACTTTACTTTTTTTAGCATCAGACCAGAGATTTGGTAAGTTTCATTACTTTTAATTTGTTTTGTTTTTAAATGCAATCTGGAATATGGTATCAATTTTTTTTAAAAAATTTGTGTTTAGCACTAATATTGTCAGAATTAGCCGCTTTAAGAGCAGAATTAAACAAAGGTATTGTTATTAATATAATTATTTTGTTTTTTAGAGAGAAATAGTTAAGGTCGTCATTTTTGGGATCTTATCACATTTATATATATATATATATATATATATATATATATATATATATATATATATATATATATATATATATATATATATATATATATATATATATATATTGTTTATATGTTAGTCTAAGGAGAGTGTAGAATCTAGGGAGACACCTAGGATTCTTACCGAATTTGCTGTAGTTCGTGCTGGTACAGAGAATTTAATTTTTCAATCATTTTTAAATTTTTCCAGTATTTCCTAGATCCATATAAGATAACTTCTGTTTTGCTTTTGTAAAGCAGAAGTCCATTTTCCAGAAACCATTTTGTGACTGCATTTGCACATTCTGTGATTTTGTTAAAGTTATCTTTTTCTGTGTTAATGAAAGTATATAATTGGGTATTATCTGTAATGATTTTTGCCATGTTTAGCTATAATACGATAGACAGGTGAAACAAACATCAACAGGAGTGGTACTCTTGTTGCTCACTGACAATCTAGATTTTGATCCATCTATATACATAAATACATACATATATATATATATATATATATATATATATATATATATATATATATATATATATATATATATATATATATATATATATATATATATATATATATATATATAATATATATATATATATATATATATATATATATATATATATATATATATATATATATATATATATATATATATATATATATATATATATATATATATATATATATATATATACAGATGCATCAAGCTTACCAACTGATCAGGGTTCTTCAGTCATATCAACACCTCCGGCTCAGGAAGTAGTCAACAACCTCTCTAGTTCAACAAGTAAGCAAATTGTTAATAATTTCAAACACAAATTAATTACTATGGTTACAAAAATTAAATCCATTTATCAAGTTATGGTATTAATCACCTATATTTAGTTTCTGAAAGGACTCTGGCTTTTTGTGTTATTGATGTCAAAAATCTGACTTAGGATTTCTTTGGGGTAAGGGAATTTCTTTTAAAGAAGTTCAATTTTTTTATTTTGGTGCGCTCAAAAAGTTCATTATAAACAACTAAAATTTTATATGAAAATAGAGTACATCAATTAGTAGCATATAAACGTTTTGTAAATGACGTAAATGTTACATATAGAATACTGAAACTTTAAACTATGAACCGGGAGGATTTTAAACCGGGAAGTTTAAAAATTAATATCTGATGTTAGTACAAACATAGAGTATATATATTGACTAACAGATAAACTTAATTTTTTTTCAATCATGACAGGCTATACTTTTTTCGGTTACAAATGTTCTCAGTAATAAGTTTGAAGACTTTCGAGTCTTATTATTTTGTAAATGTAGGCCATAAAATCTTTCAACATTTTTGGAGTTTCTGACATCAAATACCAGTAATAACTAGTGGTTTGAAGCCAGAGCCTTTTGTAAGAACTTCACTTCCCTAACAATATTGACTGAAATTATAAATAAATTAAATTATAAAATGATATTTTTGTTAAATAAATATTAGTAGTTGTTATTCTTAGTTTAGTATGAAATGTTTACTTTGATTAAGGTACTCCCAATGATGGCATCAAGGATTCAAATGGTAAATTTGATTTAAAATTTTGTTTTAAAAAAACTTATATGCTTAAAAACTTAAAGTGTTTTGTATTAATTTTTTAGGATTTTCATTTAACCAGTTCTTGCTTTGGCGTACTACGCATCCTGGTCCGAAGACGCGCAAAGCATTTAATGTTTGGGCCCGACAAGGTGGCAAAGACCTCCCCAACTTTCGATGGGGAGGTAGAACTGGGAGCCGCAAGGGTCGCGGACAAGGTGGCCGAGGAGGTGGCGGTAAAGGGTCTTTTGTACTAGGGCGTTTGTATTTTCAGCTCTAGTTTTTATTTTATGTGTAGTTTTATACTTATTTATGTTGATGTTGTTGCTTTATAATTTTATATATGTATTTTTTATTTGAAGTAAAAAAGAACAACATTTCTTATTTAACCTTTGTCGTTAATGCATAGGTAAATTATTCTGAAATTTATGTTTAAATAAAAATTTTTAATATGCCAAGCTATACTTAAGTGAAGCTTAGCTAACGTCAACTGTTATCTATACTTGCTAAAATGTTTTAACTGTTGCTACCGTTCACTTGTTCACATCTTGATATTGATGCTCAAGGGTATAGAGTTTTTTTTGTATGATACTTATAATTTTAATTTGGAAAGAAACAAATTTAAAAAGTTTCATGTGTAACATATTTATGTCTACTTACATTAGGAATTTAAAATGGTTTTTAAATTCTAGAATTAAAATCTCAAATAAAATAATCATCTTTCAGTGTAATAGATAACCCTCCTTTATTAAATTAAAGCGTATGAATACACCTGTCGACGGGTAATCGCCCGTTGGTTACTGCTTATGTAGCTATGTATGTACAATGATTTCCTTTACGTAAATCAGATACTTAAAATATAATCATTTTAAGCTCTTACAAAGAAATTCAAGTTAATTAAGCAAATTATATTTAAAATCTTTTAAAAAGGTATGAAATTTCGGTAACGGAAAAAGTTGATAAGATTTTTTTGTTAATTTCTGCAAAAAGTTGATATACAAAATGTTATATGAAGATAGAGTACATCAACTTGTAGCATGTAAATGTTTTGTAAAAGACGCCGCGCGTCATTTACAAAACGATAGTTACATGACATCTCACAAAACAGTGGATACGCAAGTATTTTGAAACCGTAATTGGGGTTTGTGTAACCGGACACTTGAAGCAAAATAAAATTTAGAAAGCAATAACAACAGATATGATATCATTTACTTGAATATGATATAATAGACTGTTTAAACGTACAACTTTTATAAAAACTATTGTTTTTTTTAATGAACCTTTCAACGAACGAGCGGGTACACAGGCACCCGCTTGTTCGTTGAACGGGTACCCGGCTATATATATTTTCGAACGACCTACGCTTTAACTCACTGATAAAAATTCTAATCCGCCTGTTTATTTACAAACATCTTTTTCATTCTCATCAACGTGTTTATGAATACTCATATATATTAATTTCATAAAACAATTTTAAAAGAACATTTTAAGAGAACACTCAGCAAACATTGCAACATTTCTGGTTTAGTTGCAATGCTTGCAACTAAACCAGAAATGTTACAATACTTGTTAATACTTTCCAGTTTTTCGCTCTCACGTGAGACTTTAATGAGCAATAAAATACTAAAACATAAAGTTCCAAATTTCTTGCTTGCATATATTTCTTCAAAATTCATAAGAACATTAAAATGACTTTGTTAAACCAAACTATGTAAATAAAAAAAAGTCAATAAATCGGTAGAACCAGACTGACTATAACCGACAATTGCTTTCTCGACTTGGCATTTTGTGTATGATTAAAGAGATAAAAATCAAATGTTAATTTTTATCTCTTGTACTCATTTCTAACAGTGAGCACCACGAGAAGGTAGCCAAGTTCCGCTCACCGCCCTAAAAAAAAAATCTAATTAAGAATAATAACACTATGGTGTGTGTGTGTGTGTGTGTGTGTGTGTGTGTGTGTGTGTGTGTGTGTGTGTGTGTGTGTGTTAACCCTAAAGGCTTATACCACAAAAGGCTATAAATCTTGATATGCCAATATTAAAAAGGTATTAGCAGTTTGTCAAAATAAAAAATCTCATTTCAAATAAATGACATAAACAACACAATTAGGGTGTTCATACCAAATAAAAATGGCATTATATAAAAATGCCAATTGTAAAAATATATGCTAATATCAGATTGGTATAAACTTCTATGCCCATAATTTTGCATAAACATGCAAGATAATTTTGCATAAACATTAAATAATGAGTTATTAACTCAAGCGTTGTGTGTAAGTATGTGTGTATGACAGTATGATAGCATGTTCTTATTTATTTCATTGGTTTAAAAAATGATTATCAATATGCTAGCAAAGACAGATTTATTGAATTAAATAAGATAAAGTTATTATCATGAATAAATAAAAATCTATACCTAAATCTAAATAAGATTTATTAATAATAATTATTAAAAATCAATACCTGATGGTAAGTATAACAAGGTCATATATTAAGTAAGGAATAAACCTAATTTTTATTATTTCTTTGTTAAGAATGTCATGACAGTTTCAGATATTATACTTCATTTGTAGTATTAATGTCTGCTATACTGTTGCAATGCTGACAATACCAGAGCTCATCTTGTTCATAAGCGCTCTGTGGAATTCTTTCACATTGCCGATGAAACCATTCTTTGCAAGTAAAGCATTGAGCCATTTGCCTACAAAACATGATAAGAATAAAATATTTTAGCATTATTTAGAAAAAATGAATTATGACTTTATAAATGACAAATTTTATGCCACCTGCTAAAAATGTTCTCATCTTTATGGGTCCAAAACATGCGACAAGAGCAATGCAAGCGTATACGAAAGTCCTTTGCTGCACATTTTTTAAACATAGCTGGATTGATTGTGGTAGGGAAGACATCTAACCGGTTCTTTAGTATACACATAAGGAGATGCTTTCTCATTTCACTTTCTTCAAACATTAGAGAAGTGGAAGGTATTCCCTTCACTTCAAGAATTTGTCTAGCCCAAGCAATAGCATACAGTCCACAATCAACACCATTAGTTTGTTGTTGAATAGGCAATACTTTAATCATAAGATATTTTTTATCACATTGTAAAATAGAGCATATTTGCCTTTTTGTGTCAAAACTAACTGCACCATGAAAAAGACTATCAAAAATATATATTTCTCCTGCAGCACAACCATATGTGGTCACACAAATCCAGTGGAGATTTCCATCATGAAGAACTTGGACAAATGGGGTGTTCGGATGGATGTTAAAAGCTAGGACTTGACCTTTAATAGGATCCTGCAGACCAACATCAATATCCAATTGCATAGACATGACTTGTTGACAATAATGAATAACTTTATCATTAAGCATTTCACCATTTTCTATCTTATTCATTTCTAAATTTCCAATCAAAGAAGATTTCAGATATTGCACACTCTGAACAGTCCTTTGAATATGGTTACCATCATCTTTTATGTTGCCTTCAAGCAACTCATTGCTATCATCAGATAATTTTTCATCAGTCTTTATTGAATCAATTGGAACCGTAAAAATATCACAACTTTCGTTTATGGAGTGATTTGTGATTATCTCAGAAAGTAAAGAAACTTTTTTTGTTACTACACTCATATCTGAGGCTGCTTTGTAAACATCATACTTGACACCAACTCGTTTAGTCATCTTCCTTTTTCGTCTAATTGGGAGATGACAAAGTCTAGTTGAATTAATTTCAGTCTTCCTCCAAGTATCTGGTTTATTATCTGGACGCAAAAGAATTCCATTTTCACTTGTAATGCTTTTAACTAAGTCAGTTTTCAATTTATAAAGCCCTTCAAACAACAGATCCACATTTTTTTGAGAGTTGCATAGATAAGACATCTGAGTGATTTCGCTTAATAGCTCACGACATGTTATTATAGAGTGACTACTTTGAATTTTATTTGGTGCAATCGTACTTTTAAAATTCATTCCTTGTACATTTGGAAACGGTTGAGGTTCAAGAGGTATAGACAATTGTGTTTCATGTCCGACAGCATTATTTTGAATACCAACATTGTTAGGATGAAAAAAATCTTGACATACTACAGAGGTTGCATGGCTATTTTCATCTGTCAATAAATCTAGGCTAAAATATGGTGAATTTCTGTATAAGCTACCAAATGCAGACCAGGAGAGATTTTCTTTTATAAAAATAGCAAAAAAATGCTTGCATGGGTATGGACTACTAAACCAGGCAGGGCAAGAACAACTAGGCAAATGTTTATCACCACCAAGATAGCATTTATAGATTTCTCGACTATTTGAATCAAATGAAGCAACGTTGTATATCTTGTCAGTTACAGCATTAATGCCTTGTAAGTCAAGGCCTTTTAATGTATCAATTAAATGCATGCAATGTTTTACCAAAGGTCGTGGACGATCAATCAAATATGGCGGAATTTTTGCATTGTATTTTCTATATGATGAATGTGCCTTTTTATTTTTATCACAATAGCTAAATAAATTATCACAATTATTATGTTGATATAACAAAGACAAGTTAACAATTTATTATTAATTGTAATGCTGTGACTCGTTACATTCATCATTGTTATCTTTTTATAAAAATACTTTAATATATTTAATATACTATTCCATACACTGTTATATCTTAAATAATAACTCAACTAACTTGTCAAATTTGTGAGGAAGAATTTCTTCAATACAAATACTTAGCTTAGCTGTTATTGAAGAATTCTTTCGTTTTTCTAAAAAACTATATTTAAAAGATTGATGCTGCCTCTCAGTTCCATTGTTAGTGTTAACATTCAGCAGGAGACGATCCTGTCTGTAAGCAAACACCCATCTCTAAAACATAAAATAAAAAAGTAAACTGTTGGTCAGTTAGTATGAAACATTGTGATAAAATTTTTAATATATATTTGTCAGGTGGTATAAATGTCTTTTTTGGCCAGTTGGTATAAAACACATAATCATCAAAAATTTTGTATAAATAAATAACATAAATAGTACAAAAAGCTTTAACTTTGCAACTTATAACATTAAATCTTATAACATTAAGTAAGAGCATAAGAGAACTCCATGGACCAAATTTCAATATAATCAGAGAAGGTATTAATAGGCTAATTTTGGAATTTTGGGATAAAAATTTATACTTTTCCATTTTTACTTAAAAAATTAGTTTATAAAAAAGTGTATTAAAAAATCAAATTTAATCACATCTTTTTTTTTAAAACAAACATGCAAACAAGATCAGAACTATGAGTTAATCTAAGAGTTAAAATAAAACAAAGGATTGATGACTCAATGAGTACATTACTGTTCATAAACATATGAACAGATCTAGATTGTTGCGATAATGATATATACAACTTATTCTATATACAACTTCGCTTACCTTTTGGATAGGTAACCAAGTGTTTGTTAAATACTCAGCGAGTTTTTGGTGTATTTTCCATACTTGTGATTCCTGGAGCCCTTGAACTGCCTTTTGACAAATATCTTCTGTTTTTGCATGTGCAATATCACGAAGCATTTTTTTAACTTGATCTTTCACAAGGCAGCATCCATTTATGGTTTTTGACAGCCATCTTTCCCAAGCTTGCTCTCTGTGAAAATCACAGATAAATACTTTACAACCTAAGTAAAAGAATTATAATTATGAATTGTTATAACAGTTTATAATTAAGCTTATTACACTTTTGTTAGTTACGTTATTTAGTGTAATTTGTTAGTCAAATGCTATTTTTGTATATAATTACATATATATACATATATATATACAAACAAATACATGGTGGGGATCAAATTTAAAACTTCTCGCTCTAAAGCAAACATTTTACAACAAAAAACTATTTTTTTAATCGTTTTTATTTATAAAAATTCTCAGTTAAAATATATTAAAATGAATATATTATAAAAAAAATATAAAAAAAAGTAGAGAGCCTATAAATGAATAATAAAACAATTTAAAAAAATGTAACAAATGTCATAAAAGTACAAAAGAAGATGAAAAAGAACCAGCAAGTTTTAAAGGAATTAGATTAAATGTGCTATATTTGAAATAAAATTTTTTTTTTTATTAATATTGTGATTTTTTCATTATTTGAAGATACTTTCCTTATATTTATGAACAGAAAAAATTCATAACTACAGAAATTCTTACCTGGAAACACATATTCGAGTGCATTTATTTCCTCGTTTGAATAATCTGTCATAAAAAACCTCGGTTGAAATAATGGATTCCATTCTTTAATGCACATTAGTGCTTTTGCTATAGCTTCTGTGGTTTCATTTTCACAAACAAAAATTGCAACAACTTGGTAATCAATGTTTGTTTTGACAACTAAAAAAAATAGCGGAAGGGCATATCTAGTTGTGCGATATGTTGCGTCTAAAAAAGCCAGTTCATTTCCATATCTATAGAGCAATTTTTGTTGCCATACATCTTGATAAACAAACAGTAATGAATTTTCAAGATTTAAATCATTGTCTGAATAGATTTTTCCTTTTGGTCTAAAATGTATTTTTGCATCTGGACAATATATTTTCCATTCATTAATCTTATCACGCAGACATTCTTGATCTATCATGGATCTGCGAAGATTATTTCTAGCTTTCTGCATATGGTTTGCAATAGTCTCATTTCGTGGGAAAAAACGTTTATTTGCTTTCTGTGGTAAGTTAAGTGAATTAAATTCCATATGCACATAAGCATCCAGAAGACGTCTCATTTCTGGAACAGAATTAACACCCTTTCTGACTAGCTCATCAATTTTTTTGATAATATCCTTAGATAAAGGTTGATTAAGACCTGCTTCCTAAAAACAAATATTTTGATAAATAAAAACCATAGACAATTTAACATTAATGTAATGGTAATACTTACATCTCCAATTGCATGGTCTTTATGAGAAGAAATGTCAGGTAATAATAAAATATATTTTCTACACATTGAAATGTTTCGGTTGGTAGCCAAAGCTGAGCGAAGTTTTTTTGACATTTCTTTTCTTAACCATATTGAATCCTTGTCCAGCTAGAACAAAGAGAACCAAGTAATTTAAAAACTGCTTAAACTATAAATAATATATATATATATATATATATATATCAAGACTTCTCATGAGACGCATCCCATCATACACCTTATTTGACCAAACATACAATTTTTTTTTGACAACTTGGCCACGCTTTTTCACACTGACTATTAAAATATTATATATATATATGTATATATATATATATATATATATATATATATATATATATATATATATATATATATATATATATATATATTTATATATATATATACATATATATATATATATTTATATATATATATGTATATATATATATATATATATATATATATATATATTATCTCAGGAATGTTGGAGGTCCTCCTCCAACATTCCTGAGTAATATGCAAGATTTACTTATTAGAGAATAATAAAGCATAGCATCAGACAGCACTTTTTTTCATTAATTTCTTGCAATTATAAAAAAAAATTTTTTTTTAAAGAGAGTGTTTTTGTAATAGTCTGATTCCAGTAGATTATGTTGGAAGGTAGAGGCGATAGACATCAGCCGTAAGACCATCCAAAAAAAGTCATGAAAGTTATCTCAGTCAGCTTTAAAATAGTAGTATAAAGTGTAATGATAGGGTGAGTCTAAAAAAGAAGTAAGCGATATAAGTTATAGTGAGATTATAGCATGGTCCAAACAACCAATAGAAGAACAAAAAAAAACTTAACACAAATTAGGCACATAGACAATACAGAAATCAAGGAAAGATGATAAGTGGTTAGGATTGTCTGGATAATGAGTCACAAAGCTGACTATTTGAGTAAGAGATAAAAACAAAAAATTTGAACAATGATAGCAGGCTTAGTGGAGTCGAGCTTATCAGTATGATAAGAATTGAAATCACCAATGAATTGGCTGAAGGATAAAGTGAAAGGGCTCTGTCAATTCGATGAGAAATAACATCAGAAATAGCACAGTCTTGGAAAGGAGGAGAACGATAAAGTATAAAGAAAAAGGTAGATGAGTAAGCAAAAGCACATAAATGCATAATCAGTGGGTTCAAATGTTGCTACAAATAGGCAAATTGATTCATAAGTATCCGTACAGGCCAAGCATGCAACTATTGCATTCTTTACATATCAAAAGATAATTGCCAATACTGAAATCCAATTATAAAACAACTGAAATCAAATTGGTCTTCAAAAAACAAGTAGGTCTGGTGAATTTTGCAGTAGGTAAGTTTCAACACATGAAAAGCTACAACAATGACCTTGAATGTTTTTAAAAATAGATTTAAGGAAATAGATGGCAGTTTTTTGTGTTTTAACACAAAAAACTGATGGCAGTTTTTTGTGTTTTACGTTTTAAAGTACTTTAGTCATGTTTATGTTTTATCTTTAATTGACTTAATCATAGGTAGTCCGATATACCTTGGTAATAATATACCTGTATATACATATATATAGTGCCTTACAGGTGAACCAGCACTGCACCAGAGACAAAATACAAACATACATAGGAAAACACAAAAATAGATATTTGGTATGTCTACTAGGCAGCAGGACATGGGGTAGGTTGCACTGGGTTACATGTTACCAATTTTTAACTTAATTTTAACTGGTGGAATTATTACTGCTGCATTGTGCAACTGATATTAATACACAATATGGTTAAGGACTGAAGACTCTTTAATAAATTTTTTATTAAAGAGTCTTCAGCCCTTAACCATATTGCTTTGTCCTTATCTTTATTTCAGGACAACTGAACAGTTGGAAAAAATTTCATGTGATAATAATGATTTTTTGTGTGATTTATTATTGTTCTTTAAGTGATGAAAGTATTTTATAAGAACTTATAGAGCTTTATAAGAGTTGATAAGAGATTTAGTAATCAAGCTTAAGGTTGTTGATTACTGTTTTTATTAAAATGGTTTAGTATTATTAATTTTTAAATTTACATAATTATAATTTATTTGCCTCAGATATTTGTTATTATTTTTATTTATTTATTGTTTATTTTTATTTTGTTATTATTTAATTTAACTATTGTTATTAACTTTATGTAACTAATATTTATTAAGGTGTCCCATTTGTTTGGAAATTAAGTTGACAGTTTTGTTATTTTGATACTAGGCTCAACTTAAACGTAATAATTAACATCAGTAGTCTTACAATAATTCAAAATATTTGTATGCTTTTAGTGCTATTTTTATTTTTCATAGAAATAGCTATTGTTAAATCAGACTAAATATATACTGCAAATATAAGTTTACTGCTACAATTAAAGGGTTGATGCATTTTTTATCGACTTTAATTATTAACATAAGCGAACGTTATTCATTTATAAATTTTTTTATAACCTTTTAAATTGTATTACTTTTATTTTAAAACAATTATTTTATGGTGTTCTCTGTGCACATTTTTTAGCATTATTCTTTACTTTCTACTAAATAAAAAGCAATATTTAATTGATGTCTAATTTAATTTTTTTTAACCTGATGTAGATGTAACTTATCAACTGGCTCATCCATATTGATAAACCTGCATGTGTTTGTAATCTGGTAATGAAACGAAATGTTGCTTGTGATTAGTTTGCTCTCTTATGAAAGCCATATATATTTGTAATATCCTAATGTATCCTCAACATTAAATACCTTTAGAATTAATATTTATACAAAATAATGCATATGATTTTTTGTGACTTATGACAAATCGGTTTTCAAACAAGGATCGCGGCGCCGGTTTTTATATAGAAAGAAGGAGTGAGGGGGGAGGGACATAAGTTTTAATGTTATTTTTATAGTTTTTGTTAGATTTAATATGTTACTTCTAACACTAGCCAAAAAGTTGACGTTTCTTATTCCTCTCGCCCTTCCTAACCTTTCCCCGTCGCCGTGATCACTGTCTATTAAGACTATAGTTTAGTCAATTTATATTTGAAGCAGCAAAATTAATATTAATATATTTGAAAAAATAATAATTGTCTCCATCATCTTTCAATAATATTGAAGATTTATTCATAAAAGATGAATATTCTTTTAAAGGAAGGAAGTTATTACATGTAGATTCCTTTGCTTTAAAATAATGTATTTTAAGGAAAAAAAATCCTAATTTACTTTAATAAAAATCTTGTTTCAAAAATATAGGAATGTTTTCTATGTTTTAACCATTGACAATAAGTTTCGCTCATTAAGTCGATCTTAGGGTCAAATATGAAGGATCCTTTACTTATCGCAAAATGTCAAAAAACATTTAGTTCGAACTGTTTATATTATGATACTTACAGTTTACATAATTTATAAAATGATTTTATAGTTACAGTTATTGATGTGATGTCTCCTTAAATTGTTGTATTGCAATAAGCAATTTTTAAATTTAATTAAGCTCTTTCTGGTTACGTGTGCATCATCAATTAATTCAAAAATTGCTATAAGATTAAAATCGTTAATTGCAATTTTTCTGTATTTAATTAAAAAAGAATATAAAACTGTTACCCCTGCATCCCTTTCGTAAATATGTTATGGGAGCCCTTTAAGTAAAAATGCTATGTTACATCGGTTACATTTAAAGGTGCGAAAAAAAATATCATTTTATAATTCCACAAAACCATTTGTTAACTCGTTTTCAAAAGTCCTAAGAGGCCTTGACTCGTAATCAAAGAGTTTTATATATGCGTTGACGGGATTTTTCGTTTAACAACACAAACAAAAATAATAACCATTTCTTTTCACTATGTTAAATATATATATATATATATATATATATATATATATATATATATATATATATATATATATATATATATATATATATATATATATATATATATATATATATATATTGGCATGGGACAGCAATCTTTTCTTTCACAACTCTTGGCTTTTTCTTTTTCCTAATGAAAATTCATATTTAATGTAACAAAAATATGAAAACCAGTGCCAAAATTACGATAACCCTGGCGCCGGATTGCGATCGAATCCTGGACCTATCCTACAAAAAAAAAAAAAAACCTTGGTTAGCAGACGTTATTACTCGCAATAATGTAAGTTAATGTTAACCTCAAGCTTTCGTGCTATCTTGATTATAAAATATAATTTTAAATGAAGAAAGCTATAGATCCTCAAACTGCAAATGAAGGAGACCTTCGATTACACAAAAATAATTAAACAATTTTAAAAACTTTCATGTTTTTTAACTTTTTAACGCCTGTATCCAAATATTACAAACCTTGACTATGTTATCGATATTGAATCAAATTACAAAACTAATTGAATGAAATAAAAATTTTCAAACATTTAAAGCAAGACACAACCGTTTGTAGAAATAACTGATAATAATACGGAAGACTTTGATCCCACGTTTCCCATATGATTAAATATTAGCATTCAGATTTTTTTTTTAAGCCCTTTACAATATCAAATATAATAATAATAGCAATAAACAATAAAAATAAACCAACACAAACTATATATAACTGTGCATTTAAAATAATAATATCGTGGATAAAATACCATTTCAGTCCATTTCTATGTCCATTTCAAAGACAAATCAAAATCTGGCAAAACTATTTTATTGCATAAATAAGGACCGTGATAAAAAATAATTAGTTTTTCAAGTTTATCAGTAAAAATTATCAAATCAAAATCAGTAAAGCATAAAAATAACTATATTACCTATAAAACCTTATTTGAAAAACTTCGCAAAAATGCAAAAAAAAAAAAATACTACTCCTACTTGATCGATAAACATAAAAATAATTCGAAACAAATCTGGAAAATAATGAAAGAAATTACAGGAAAACTTAAAACAAATACAAATTCTCTGCCACATGAAATAAAAATTAAAAACAAACTAATTAACGACTCAAACTATATTGCAGCTGAATTTAACAAATTTTTTACAACAATTGGAACTAAACTAGCAAATAATATACCTTATATCGACGATAAATCAGCTGAGTTCCTAACATCAACTTCATCAAATTTTCACTTTACTGAGCTAACCTATGATGAATTTGAAATCGCCTTTAGTTCATTAAAAAGACATAAAACAACTGGATATGATGATATTAATGTGAATTTTATAATAGACTTTTGTGATGTTATAAAACCCATTATGTTATAAAACCCATTCAAAATCTCAACTAAATTTCCCTGATTTTATTGCAGAAATCTGAATTCCCAGACCTGGCAGACACCGTATATTACATACGACACTGATTTTTAATCAGGGGTTAAATAATTCTTGCTTCAATAAAAAGAAACTTCTCTGATTATTGATAAGTTTAAATATTAATTATTAATAACTAGCAGCAAACAACCCGTTAATGGGTTAGTAATAAATAACTAATAACAAATTAACTTCGGATATTTGTAAAAGGTAAATACAAGTTCATCTATATATAGGGCTGCAATTGTTCCGGTTTTTCCGCAAAATAACGCTATAAAAAATTCAATTTTAATTAGTATAGCGTTGCGCTCTTCTCTGTAAAAATCGGGACAAGCTCTATATAATCTTTTTGGTTTTGCTCGCTTTTTCTTGGGATTTAGAAAAGTTATAGGATTCTTTTTGATAACAGAAAGCACCAGAGAAGTAACGCTAAGTACAACTTGCCAATACCTAAAAGAAAAAGATTTTATCATCTTAAAATACAAAAGCATTATTTTACATATTTATTGTTTTAGAATAAGTAAGTTTAATAATGTAATGAAGAGGAGCATTGTTTTACATTTATATTGTGTTCATGAATTAGTGCGCGACTCGTGAAACATTTCTTTAACACGGTCATTATCAATTATGGTACCAAAAAGTACATAAGAGCTTAGTAATAACCACTGATCTCTATAATAACTAGATAGCGCATCTCTAATATCAAAAGTGAAGCCAATATTTTGTACCGCCGCCATATTGGAAAGCCCCAGAATACCGAAAATACAGTGATTGCGCTTGAAGATGTACCTTTTTACTTCGTTTATATCTACTCGACCAAGTCACATATTTCAATGATATTATTATATTTAAAATGTTTGAAGGTGTAAAAATTATAAAAGGGAATCAAAAACACGCAGAACATTAACGACGAAGAGAAATATCGCTATAAAGAAATAATAAAATTTGTATTGCTTTCTATGAACTTGTTAAATTTATTGAATTCATGATATTTTAAATAAAACTTTTCTAAGAGACAAATTGATATTTGATCTGGTGACTTTTGGGTGTTTATTTTAACAACTTGATGCGACCTTACTTAGCAATAGTAGCTGGAAAGTAACTTTACAAGTATAAAACATGATAAAAACATTGTATCAAACATTTTTGTAAATGGTTTTCTAATTTTTGAAACTCTTAGGGCATGTTTATATTGTTCCACAACTGAAATATTATCAACTATGCAATACTTTATTAAAATTGATATCAATTAATAACAATGTTTTGTTCTGTTGCTTTGCTAACTTTAATTACACTTTGTGAAGGTTTGAAAAAGCCATCTCTAACTTTAAAAAACACTGGATATTTGGTAATAACTAGTTATTTGCAGTTTTACATTAAAGTATTTAGTGTTTTAGACTAAATAACAGCATCACATACATGTTGATTGTTTATATTTAAATATGGTATAAATGAAAACAGACATGGTTTCTTTCAACTTTTTTTACAAGTAATGACTCTAAAGTAAAATAATAATGATTCAGCTAACATCTATCAGTTTTATACTGATAAATATTAGTTGTATAATTAATAAATATTTAAAATATCTCTTGTGAAAACAAATAAGCAACATAAAAGACCAAAATGAAAGGTGAACAATTTTTTTTATAAGTGTACATACTTTTTTACTTTTCCCTACCACATAATACCTTTTTATTCAATGTTTTTTTTGTTATTCAATGCTTATACAAGTTATTCAATGATTATTTTGTTCAAGATGATAGAGCTAACTATTATTTTATTTATATTTTTTTACTTTAACATATTCTTTTGTAATTGCAATATCTTATACAAATGTTCTGGTGTTGTGAAAATGTCTAATGGCATTTACAAAAATGTCTTGAAAGTATTTTTCGACAGTTAAGCGTTAAGTTATTATATATATATATATATATATATATATATATATATATATATATATATATATATATATATATATATATATATATATATATATATATATATAAATGTATACAGGGTGGCCAGCCACTTTCAAAAATTAAATTCCCTTACTTTATATATATATATATATATATATATATATATATATATATATATATATATATATATATATATATATATATATATATATATATATATATATATATATATATATATATATATATATATATTTATGTCACTCTCCATGAAATAATCTGAACATATAACATCAGATTTACTCGGTTTTTAATAATCAATACATTTATAAAGTTTTTGCATTTTTTATTTATCAAGCGAAATCTGTTTAACGCAACTACGGATTTATAAATTCTGGGGCTTTCCAATATGGCGTCTTTTGGCTTCAAAAATTTCGAAATTTTATTAGGAGATGCGCTATCCAGTTATTATAGAGATCAGTGGTAATAACACATTGTCCCAACAATTCTCTCCTTTTCTTAATAAACTTTCGTTAAACAGAGGAGACAGACTGCTTCAAAGGCACTTTATTACAATAAATTAATATAATCATAACTTAAATA